CTGGGCATTCCTCAGCGCTTGATTTAGGTCCTCCTTAAATTCAAAAGAATACAACAAGATGGTTTTTAGAGCACATATGGGGTTACCAATGTTCCCTCTAAGCTGAGTTAGTGTGAGCTAGCTCACAGTTTTTTAGCCTCCGACTCACACATTTTTGTTTCAGGTCAGGAAAGATGGCTCCAGAGCAAACTAATTTATGTAGTAGCCAAATGGCTTGCTCGCAACTTTAATGCCGGAAGCTCACAAAGTAGAGTTTTCACTCACAAGACTCCACAGCTTAGAGGGAACATTGGGGGTTACTATTCCCCCTTTGGTATCTTGTGTGGTTTCCTGGACTCCTGGAATTTTGTACTCTCAGCAGCCCTGGCCATGATATGTGTAGGGAGAACATTCATTCATTCAGCTGGAATCCTTTTGTCCTGGTGTATGGTTGTTTTTTTTTGCCACTCTGGGGATTCTGAGCAATGTACAAAACAAAACCATCATAAAGATAGAATGTACAAAAACATGTGCATGCAACAACTCTTGTGTATACATGCTTCAAGTGGGCAATACAGCACAAGGGTGTATCAAGGCAGTAAAGGTCGCACCAGATTGGCACACGCAAGGTCGGCTGCCAGCCACAAGCCAAGAGTGGTATGTGTGTCTGTAAGTGCTCTCAAGTCGAAACCAACTGATGGTGACCCCAGCAAGGGGGTTTCAAGAGAAATGAGAAGCAGAGGCAGTTTGCCCCTGTCATCCTCAGCAGAGTCTTCCTTGGGGGTCCCCCATTCAAGTATCGACCATTCTTAGCTTCCGACATCTGACATGCTCAGTCTATACTAGGCCACCTCTTTCCCCTCCGTGAATGATAGTTTCATGATAAATAGGACCACTTTTTGTTAGTTACCGGAAGAGGACATTTTGCACTAATTATTCTTTTGAAGCATTGTCATCTTCTGGTTGAATGGTAGTATAGTGTAGTAGTTAAGTGTGCAGACTCTAATCTGGGAGAACCGGGTTTGATTTGTCACTCCTCCACTTGTAGCTGCTGGATGACCTTGGGCAAGCCGTAGTTCTGTCAGCTGTTCTCTCAAGGACAGTTCTGGAAAGAGCTCTCTCGCAGGGTGCCTGTTGTGGGGAGGGGAAGGGAAAGGCGTTTGTAAGCCACTCTGAGACTCCGTGTGAAGGGCGGGGTATCAATCCAATCTCTTCTTCTCAATTTACCTTTCCATTTTAAGATTTTGGTTTGTGCAACATAAAATGCCGTTGTTACGATACAGACGTATGCCACGCTGCTTTCTTGGAGAGGTGCTGGGCAACCTTCAGAATGCCATCCGGGGTTTTAGCCAGCATGCCTCTTCTCTGCAGCCGCTTTCAATTGTCTGCCGAATGTATCACAGGCTATGTTGACCGCAGAACACAATGCAATGGCAGGTGCTGCGGCACTGATCAAGAAATAAACCCAGATTATCTAAAGAACATGTACTGGCATAGAACGAATGTTAAGGAACAATTACATATCAGATGGGAAATTGAGGGTGAGAGACCGCGGGAGTGAGCTGAAGCAGGCCTACTGGAAAGTAAGTCTCATTGTTCTCAGTGGGGCGTCTTCCCAGGAAAGTATTCTTAGGACTGCAGCCTGTATTTATTTTGCAGGGATGTGTACAATGTTTTAGCTTCACATTCTAGAGCTTTGGGATCAGCCCTGGCTCTCTGCTATTATTTAACACGTGGAGGGACTCTACGGTCTTAGTTGAGTCCATCGCTAAGCAGGGACTGAAACCTGGTTATGAATCAAGGTAAATCAAATGAGATAGTTTCAGAGGGGTAGTCGTGTTGGTCTGCCATAGAACAGCTAGGTTCGGATCGAGTAGCGCCTAAGAGACCAACAAAATTTGGGGGGAGTGAGCTTTGAAGGGTCAAAGGTCCCTTCGTCATATCCTCAACATCTTATTGGTCTCTGAGGTGCTACTGGACTTGAACCCGGCTCTTCTACTGCAGACCCACGCGGCTCCCCTCTGAAACTATCTTCATGGAAGGTGTCACATTCAAGTGCACAAAGCTGAAATCCGTCCATCGTATCTGACCACGGGAGCTTTGATTCTTGAAAGAAGAAGAAGAAGAAGAGATTGGGTTTATACCCCAACCTTCACTACCCAAAGGAGTCTCAGGGAGGCTTACACTTTCCTTTCTCTTCCCCTCCCCACAACAGACACCCTCTGAGGTAGGTGGGGCTGAGAGAGCTCTGAGAGGAACTGCTCTTTTTCAAGGACAGCTCTTATTAGAACTATGGCTTGCCCAAGGTCATCCAGCAGGTGCAAAACTTATACCCCCAAAATCTTGTTGGTCTCTAAGGTGCTACTGGCTTCGCATAGCTAAATCCGAGCTGGAAAAACACCTGGAAAATACCTTATTGGTATTTTGGGGTATTGATTTAGCTGGATAGTAATGTTGGATGTTGTTCATCTATCTGAAATGGCCAAGACTTGAAAATATTTGAGATTTTTGAGACTACCAGATAGACAAACGAAGGGCATCTAAAGGGACCATGGAGATAGCCCGTGTGGTGTAGTAGTAAGAGTGACAGAGTCTAAACTGGAAAACTGAGTCTGATTTCCCACTCCTCCATGTGAAGCCAGCTGGGTGACCTTGGGTCAGTCACAGTTCTCTCAGAGCTGTTCTCTCAGAGCTCTCTCAGCCCCACATTCCTCACAGGGTATCTATTGTGGGGAGAGGAAGGGAAGGCAATTGTAAGCCACTCTGAGATACCTTCAAGTAGTGAAAGCAGGGTATAAAAACTAGCTCTTCTCTTCTTCTTGCATGGCTTGGAGAACTCCAAAGACATTTAAAAGGCTCACAGTCCCTTCAAAGACCTTCTGGGTAACCTTGCGGCAAACCCTTTAAACACCTTCAGAGTTCTCCAAGCCATGAAGTCACGCAGCTTGGAGCAGGTATTTAAAAGGACCACAATCTCTTTAAATGCATTCTCCCCCCCCACCTTTGAAATCAATGGAGGATGGGGGGACCTTCTTTGGAGGCCTATAGAATTGGACCCCCTGGTAAAATCTTTTTTAAACATGGGGGAGGGGTTAGGAGAAGCACCACTAGCTATACAGCAAATCTGGTGCCTCTACCTCAAAAAACAGCCCCTCCAGAGCCCCAGATATCCCAGATCAATTATCCACTATACCCTATGGGGACCATTGACTATAGTGGTCCCCACAGGGTATAATGGGGCTGGAAAAAATTGGGTTTCCCAAATATTTACTGAATCCAAATATTGGGAAATACCAATATTTTTCAGGTTCAATATACCCAAACCCCCAAATACCATTTTTTCACATTCCTAGACTCAAATCTAGCTTATCAAAAAAGAGTAAGTAATGCTTGCAAAATGACATTTATTGGCAAGAGCCAACACATTTCAAGTTTGAGTAAGAGAAGAGGGTGTTAGACTACCACGTGTATGAGTTGGATCTTCATTTGAATGAAAATTTGGCTGACCTTTTGAACTTTTCTGCCTTAACGCATGATAAATGTGTCCTGTTTCTAGCCATCAATAGTCAATGAATGCTGGCGTTTTATATATATTGGGCAGAGGTGTAACCAGTCACCACGTGAATTTTCACAGCCACTTCGGACACCATTCGATAGCTTCTCGTATTTCAACCTGAAGTTCTTTTTCCCCTTCGGAATTTGGTCTCTTGAAGTGCTTGTCACTGTGGGCCAGACCAGATGCTCTGGCATCAACAGGTCTGACCCATGGATGCCAACACCAGTTTAGAGAAGAATTTGGCCATTTAAAACTGACCGGTAGCGGTAGAACATCTGCTTGCTATGGAGAAGGTCCCAGGTTCAGTCCCTGGCATCTCCAATTAAAAGGACCCAGTAGTAGGTATTGTGAAAGACCTCCACCTGAGACCTTCAGTCTTGGGTTGTATTAAAAGGGCCATAGCATTGAAACTGCAGGAGGTCATATAGCCCCTCTGTATACTGCCTTGGTCAGGCCGCACCTGGAGTACCGTATGCAGTTCTGGAGGCCTCACTTCAAAAAGGATGTGGACAAAATCGAGAGGGTGCAGAAGAGAGTGACGAGGATGATCAGGGGTCCGGAGACTGAGCCCTACGAGGAAAGGCTAAGGGCCCTGGAATGTTTAGTCTGGAGAAGAGGCGATTGAGGGGGGGGGACATGATTGCTCTCTTTAAATATTTGAAGGGCTGTCACTTAGAGGAGGGCAAGGAGCTGTTCCAGTTGGCAGCGGAGGATAGGACCCAAAGCAACGGGTTTAAATGACATGCAGAAAGGTATCGGCTGGATATTAGGAAACACTTTTTCCCTGTCAGAGTGGTTCAGAGGTGGAATCGGCTGCCTAGGGAGGTGGTAGGTAAGCTCCCCTTCACTGACAGCTTTCAAGAAGAGGTTGGACGAGTATTTGTCAGAGATGCTTTAGGCTGGTCCTGCATTGGGCAGGGGGTTGGACTAGATCAGTGATGGCGAACGTTTTAGAGACCGAGTGCCCAAACTGCGACCCAAAACCCACTTATCGCAAAGTGCCAACACAGCAATTTAACCTGAATACTGAGGTTTTACTTTAGAAAAAACAACTCATACATTAACTTAAGATGATCCAAACAAAGTAAGGAAAGCAATCCCAAATGTTTTCATTTACTTAAAATTATTTGGCAGAGAATTCGACACTTTAATGATGGTCTGGGCCTGGCTGGGGTGATGGCACGCGTGCCCACAGAGAGGGCTCTGAGTGCCACCTCTGGCCCCCGTGCCATAGGTTCACCACCACTGGACTAGATGGTCCGTATGGACCCTCCCAACTCTATGATTCTATGTGATTCTATGACCCTGGAGAGCTGCTGCCAGTCTGAGTAGACAACACTGATCCTGATGGACCAATGGTCCAATTCTGTATAAGGCAGCTTCATGTGTTTGTGTGTCCACCAGATTATAATTACTACTGTTACCATGTGCTTGTGCCTGAGTGACCGTGATCTTTCTGTTGCAGATGCATTGCGAGAGATTTATATGTATCTTGAGAATACTCGGAACCACGCTGTTTGGGGTGTCGCTTCTGCTCGGGATCTCAGCCGCTTACATTGTGGGCTACCAGTTTATCCAGACGGACAACTATTACTTCTCGTTTGGGCTCTACGGTGCCATCCTGGCATCGCACCTCATCATCCAAAGCCTGTTTGCCTTCCTCGAACACCGGAAAATGAAGCGCTCCCTCGAGACGCCCATCAAGCTGAGCAAAACGGTGGCCCTTTGCATCGCCGCCTACCAGGAGGACCCCGACTACTTAAGGAAATGTTTACTTTCGGTGAAAAGGCTCACCTACCCGGGAATTAAGGTGATTATGGTGATCGACGGGAATTCAGAAGATGATGTTTACATGATGGACATTTTTAGCGAAATCATGGGCAGGGATAAGTCCGCGACGTACATCTGGAGGAACAACTTCCACCACAAAGGTCCCGAGGAGACCGACGAGTCCCACCGAGACAGCATGCAGCACGTCACTCAGCTGGTCCTGTCCAACAAAAGCGTCTGCATCATGCAAAAATGGGGCGGGAAGAGAGAAGTTATGTACACGGCGTTCAAAGCACTGGGGAGAAGCGTGGATTATGTGCAGGTAGGTATTAAAAGCCCTCCCGCCCTGCCAAGTCAAACAGGCCTCCAAAGAAAGCACGTCTTGTGCATTTTTGGGCTGGGTGTTGCGTGCCCCGTCCCGGCCCTTCGATGAACAGAGCACCCCTTTTACTCTCCACTTGAAGACAGCAATGCCATTGAAAAGCTTTCCCTTCTGAAACAGTTAACTCCGTCAAACAAACACAATGATATGTCACGCCGGTGTAGGGACATAACTTGCTGTTTCTGCAGGGTGATTATATATATATATAAATTGATTAGGACTATGTGTGTGTGTGTGTGTGTGTGTGTGTGTATATATATAAAATTGATTGGGGCTTTATTTCCCCCAAGCCATAATGCATTTGGGAATCAATGTGGAGTCCCAGTTCATTACAGATCAGTTCTGCCACATCGGTGATCGTTTCAGCGTTCCTTCCCCTGCAACCTCTGCTGCTTACGAATGGTTCTGCATGAGCTGAAAAAGGTGTCTGGATAGGCCAAAATCTGTGGCATTCAGGTTTGGCACTCCTGGGGATTTTGTAGGATTTTCCTAGGCTCTGGCTGTGTGGATCCCATTGTTAATACATACCAACTCCTTGGGACAGTCAGTTTTGGATCCCAATAGGCTGTGCTAAACATGTTCTAGTATAAAATGGAGCATTGGTACTCTGTTAGTACTGTTCTAAGCAGATAGGGTTGCCAGCTCCAGGTTGGGAAATTCCAGGAGGAGGAGGATGAGAGATTGAATTTATACCCCACCCTTCACTACCCGAAGGAGTCTCAGAGCGGCTTCCAATCTCCTTTCCCTTCCCCTCCCCACAACAGACACCCTGTGAGGTAGGTGGGGCTGAGAGAGCTCTCTCGAGAACTGCCCTTGAGAGAACAGCTCTGAAAGAACCTGTGACTGACCCAAAGTCACACCAGCAGTTACATGTGAAGGAGAGGGGAATGAAACCCGTTTCTCCCAGACTAGAGTCCGCGCTCTTAACCACTGCACCAAACTGGCTCATTTAGTGGTAGAATGTAGGGAGGGGGGGGAAGGGAAGGACCCCAGTGGGGTCTAATGCCATAAACACCACTTTCCAAAATAGCAATTTTCTCTGGGGAAACTGATCTCTGTAGTCTGGAGATCAGTTGTGATTCCAGGAGATCTCCAGGACCCACCTGGAAGTTAGCACCCCTGTAAGCAGAGTGACACCTTTCTAAATCCATTGACTCAACGCAGAATGGCTTAACTCTGCTTAGAATGGCACTCCCAATCTGCCAATGCAACCTAAGACTACCTGAATTTCATTGCATCCCCTAACTTGAAACAAGGGCTCCCATATGTGTCAACTTGAGCAAAACAGTGGCCCCTGCGGTTTTGTTTCCCTGTTCCCTGTTCATCAGCCCCTCTGTCCAAATGGCACTAGATATTTTTTTTGTCTCTTTTTTGGGTCATTATCTATGCAATCATATGCAAAGCTGTCAAATGAGTACTTGCCATCGTTGTTTACATTTGGCAGATAAACCTGCACACGTATCACTACGCTCTGTCACACATAATTCATCTATACAATGACCACTAGCATAGAAGCAGCAGGAAAGTATTCCATGTCCCCCTAGGGGTGCCAGATCCAGGTTAGGGATCTCCTGGAGATTTGCAGATGGAGCCTGGAGAGGATTCCCTGTCCCTTTAATAGCCTTAATGGGGCCATCATTTACCAGATGATGCTGCTGTTTGCCTCCCTGCCATGTAAATCATCAACTGCCCGTTTCTCTCGATGGTACAGGAGACCTTTGGCCAGGCATGTTGGTAACCCTATATAGAATGCAGGATTTTACTGGCTCCCAGTTTTCCCGTCAGAGTTGCAAGTCTGGAAAAGGTTTTACTCGGCGGAATGATCCCTTCTCAATAAAGGCACGTGAGCATCCAAGCAGATCTGTGCCCCAAATCTGTGCCAATGTGGGTCCCCACTGGGGAGAAAAGTGGTGCCAAAGTGCAGTAAATGAAAGAAACCTGCTTCTTGGCCCACGACAAGGCAGCATCTTTTGCCCCTCCGTATTTTTTGTCAGCTCGCAGCCCCTTCTGCCCCGGTCCTAAGTGAAGATTTGCCCCGTTCTCCATTCAGTCAGCTTTGCTGCCCAAACTCTCCACTGGTTTTCCTTCTTGTGTAGCAGCCTGGTCTTTCTATCTGGCATTTACATCTGTGGTCTCTTCTGCCAACATCATTACAGATCAGTTCTGCCACATCGGTGATCGTTTCAGCGCTCCTTCCCCAACATCACACAAAACTTTTGCTCGGTGAATTTCCTGCTTCTTGGGAAACAAAGTGCACGTGGGCACAGATTCAGCCGGAGAAGCCAAAATGCGCTTTCAGCATCACTTGTGAAAACAAACAGACTAGCCATGCCATGCCGCTAAGTCCATTGAAGTCAAAGGGGCTTAGAAAGTGCTAAGTCTACTCTACTTAACAATGGCACCGTAAAGGTCCTGCCATGGAAAAGACCCAACAAATCCATAGTCCATCTATAGCCATGGTAGCTAAAGGCAACCTCCGTGTTCAGAGGCAGAAATAATGGCACCGACACAGGGAGCTTGGGAACCCATGCCCCGCTTATAGGCTATCCAGATGCAACTGCTTAGCTAATGTAGGAAATGGGGTGCTAAACTAGATGGTTTGAACCAGCAAGGCGAGCCACAAGAACTTAGAGGCCAGATGGTTCTCCCAGGTATAGTCTAGATCACGGCCACCATATTGGTGCCATGGTGCCCGCCAACACCTTTCCTAGTGGCCGCCAAGCTTTTTTTTTTTTTAGAAAGTGGGCAGTGACAGCTTTTGCCCACCAGGGCTTCTGACTAGCCATGGGAAATTTAATTGGCCATGCAGATTTTTAAAGCATTGCTTTGGCGGCAGCTACCACCAAGGCACAAGGATCTTCGCTGTGGGACTGAAGATAATCTAGCTGTACGCAAGAAAATGTTTTTAAGCAATATTTCCTTCTTAAAAGGTACCCTGTTAAGCAGAACTTCGGCCTGAAATGCTGAAGTGTTACTACTAGAGTAAAGCATACCCTCACGTCGCAGATGTTTTGTGTTTGGCTCCACCTCCTTCTGCAGCCATTTTTTTCCATTGTGCCCATCACCTTGTGTCAGAACGCCAAAGAGCCAGTTTGGTGTAGTGGTTAGGTGCACAGACCTGGGAGAACCCGGTTTGATTCCCCACTCCTCCACTTGCAGCTGCTGGATGACCTTGGGCAAGCCATAGTTCTGTCAGAGCTGTTCTTGAAAGGGCAGTTTCTGTCAGAGCTCTTTCAGTCCCACTTACCTCACAGGGTGTGCGTTGTGGGGAGGGGAAGGGAACAGAGTTTGTAAGCCGCTGTGAGACTCTGAGTGAAGGACAGGGTATAAATCCAATCTCTTCTTGGAGAGCCAGTTTGGTGTAGTGGTTAAGTGCGCGGACTCTAATCTGGGAGAACCGGGTTTGATTCCCCACTCCTCCACTTGCACCTGCTGATGTGACCTTGGGCCCGTCACAAGCTCTGGCACAGCTGTCCTTGAAAAAGAGCAGGTTGTGTCAGAATTCTCTCAGGCCCACCCACCTCACTGGGTGTCTGTTGTGGGGAGGGGAAGGGAAAGGAGTTTATAAGCCGCTCTGAGACTGCAAGTGAAGGGCGGGGTATAAATCCAATCTCTTCTCTCTTCTTCTTCTTCTTCAAAGGAGCTTGGAGGGTCCAAAAGGCTGGGGATCTAGAGGTTATGCGTATGATTGGTGCTGAATCAGGAGAGGAGACAGCTGCAGTTTCTCTTAGTCCCTCCCAGCCCTTTTTTATACTCTCCCCCTTCTGTTTGATACTAACTAGCAAGCAGGACTGCAGCAATAAGTTCAACTCAGTAGGGGAAAGGATGCAGTCAATGGGACCAGGGGAAAGCAGCTGTCTTGTATCTCTGTTCAGCAACACTCTTAGAGGTTCAGATGACACTCCTGTGCTATAGACTTGGAATTAATTGCATCAGAAGACTTTGTCTGTTCACATCAAGCGGTCGGGTTAGAACGGATAAAAGGAAGTACTTCTTCACCCAAAGAGTGATTAACACATGGAATTCACTGCCACAGGAAGTGGTGGCGGCTACAAGCATGGACGGCTTCAAAAGGGAATTAGATAAGCATATGGAGCAGAGGTCCACCAGTGGCTATTAGCCACAAGGTATAGATAGGGGCTCTGGGGCAAGTGATGCTCTGTCATCTTGGTGCTTGGGGGGGGAGGTCAACATTGGGAGGGCTTCTAATGTCCTGGCCCCACTGGTGGACCTCCTGATGGCACTGGTATTTCTGGCCACTGTGTGACACAGAGTATTGGACTGGATGGGCCTTTGGCCTGATCCAACATTGGCGTCTCTTATGTTCTTATGTTCTTATCATACGAGCAACCTCCATGGTAGGGCTGTAATGTATGCCTTGACAGTTACAACCAGTAGGTAAGGTTGCCAACCTCCAGGTGGTAGCTGGAGATTGCCTGGGATTACAACTGCTCTCCAGGCGACAGACATCAGTTTATTTTATTTATTTCAAATTGTTAGGCCAGCCTTCCCTGCAAGCAAGGTCCAGGGTAGCTTAGATCAAAACCCACACAATAGTAATCCATTAAATGACATTGGTAAGGTAAAAGGTAACGTTTTCCCTTGCTCGAAAGCCAGTCAAATCCGACTCTGGGGGGCGATGCTCATCTCCATTTCCAAGGCGAAGAGCCAGCGCTGTCCGAAGACGTTTCCGTGGTCATGTGGCCGGCATGACTAGATGCCGAGGCGCACGGAATACTGTTACTTTCCCACTGAAGCGGAAACCTATTTATCTCCTTGCAATTTCTTTCTTGCAAACTGCTAGGTTGGCAGGAGTAAATGACATTAAAAGCTACTAAAAACAAGCATACATTACATTGTCTAAGATGACGAGAAATCTGTTCCCACCAGCCCCCTGCTGCTATCCTCAACCGAATGCCTGGTGAAACATCTCTGCCCTGCAGGCCCTATGGAAAGGCAATAGATCCCAGAGAGTTCCACCAGTTTCCCTCCCCGCCTCAGGCTTCACCCCCCAAAATCTCCATGTATTTCCCAACCCCGAGCTGGCAACGCTACCAGTAACCCTGTTCGCAAGTTATAGTGAATGCACAGACAATCCGTGTACAGTGTACACTTGGGGTTTTTTTTTTAATATATACAGACAATGAGTGATTCTCACATTACATTCAGTGCACACACAACTGAACGAATGGTATAAGCCACGTATTTATCCAGGTACTAGTACCTGGTTTTCTTTGTACCAGTACCCAGTTTTATTTGCACAAATCAATGAATGCATGTTGGCTTTTCCTTACAAAAACAGATGGGAAACATGTACATGCAGGATGTATGTGAGTCCACAGTTAACATGTGGACGGGGTAGTATTTCTCATCCAAAAAAAAAAAAAAATGGCCTCTCCTTGTTGTAAAAAACAAAACAAAACAACATCTTAAGAGAAATTCCCCGCTTCACCAGATGTAAGGCTGGGCTTCAAGGTCATTATTCATCTTGCGCTAGGAGGCCCTGTACGTACACTCTCCTCCTCAAAGAGCATCTCAAAGGATTGGCAGAGTCTGTGAAAACGGAGAGTTTTTAAAGCCCTATAAAAAGTTGTTAAGAAGCAGGGAGGGAGGGGAAGGGGGCTGGTTGGGGAGGGCGGGGGGAGGGTGGGGAGTGAAGCTCAGAAACACAAACAAGCAAGGTCCTCCAACCAGGCCGGGGCCGGCTTCGCCTTTACAGCTGCATTACCTCACTCGAGGCAAAAGCTTGGCTTTTAGAGCCTCTGTGACACCGTTCACTTAAAAATGAATTAGGCAAGGCCCACTCCTCCATTTCCAAAAACCTCAAGCTGCAGGCAGGGATTATTGGCCAGCTGCGCTGCGTCTGGCAGACATTTCTCCTCCCGCCACTCTGTTCTAGGAGACCTGAAGGTTGTTTTTTTTCCCCTTCTTCAAAAGATTACACAAAAGTATTGCTTCTCCGTTGTGTGAGGGAGTCACCGTCCTTGGGCAGTTGGCAGTCCGCCCCAGAGGAGGGAAGCTGCTGAGGGGGTAGAAAGGGGAAAGCCGAAAGAATTTCACACCATGTTGGTTTGACCTTGGCTTGGCATCGGTTTTGCCCTCTGGTTGGGGATCGGGAGAGCACATGCTTTGTCCCCAGAAAGACCCAGGTCCAGTCCCTGGCGATTCCATTGCATGAAGTAATGTTATCAACACATGTGCAGCCCCCCAGTGAGAGAAATGGTGGAGGGGCTGGTTTCATTTCATCCCCATGTGCCACGATTGGGGTCTTTCACACCCAGGAAAGGAGTTCTGTAGCACCTGATGTGTGAACTTTCTGAGTCACAGGTTGGGGAAATGCAGACAAATATGTAGGTATACTCACCTTCGTCTTTTTCCAGTCTGTTTCTCCCATTTGCTCAACAGTGGAGTGCGTGCGTGCTTCGCTGCACGAAATCCCAGGTTCAGTTCCTGTTATCTCCAGTTAAAGGGCTGGTGTCCCGACTCAGTATAAGACGCCTACCCATGCTCACCTTAGAGATAGAAGGGAACACCTAGAGCTTTGTCTCATACCTGTCTAGTCTTCTTCCCCAACCCAAACCTATCCTTCCCACTATACAGAGGCATCCAATATATGACATGATCTAGGAAGGCACTATTGAGGACAGATTGGATAAATATCAGAGAGAGGGGTCGCCAAGGTTAATGGTTGTTCTGGAGCTTAAACAGTGTCCTGCAATCCCTTCAGGGAAAGGGCCATGTCGAGAGTCCGATGCACGGGGGAGATAACGGCTGCAAACAAGGCCTTTTCGGCAGTCCCACTCCCCTTAACAGTGCATCTTCCCGTCCAGGTGAATTTCCCCATGTTTCCTGAGGGCTGAAGTAGACAAGATGCTCCAAGAACTCCTGCATGTTTTTAGTTGCAAAAAAGCAGCTGCACAACTCTTTGATTTAGATCAGAGGGCCCATGGCACAGGAGGAGGGGAAGTCGTTTCCCCTTGTCCTTTCCTGACCTCAGATGACCCCCTGCGAGCTGACTGTCTTCCTCGTATGTTTCTCCCAAGGAGGGGAGATAGCAGCTGGGGGGGGTGCATTTGAAGTTAGGAAAACAGCACAAATTGGGGGGGCGTTAAAACCCTTCTTCCCACACCAGAGCTGTACCCCCCCCCCACACACACACTGTTTAGCAATAAAAACAGACTGGAGAATCAGTCCCAGATCTTTCAATGGCTGCCTTGGTTTGGCATCGAGATACATCCTTTCCTCTTCTTGTGTGTGGATTCTCTGATCGACCATCGTACCGCTTTTGCCCAGCAGCGCAGCCTGGACGGAGGTTCTCTCCCACGTGGAATCTTGTCTTGTGATATCCAAACGTTCTCTTCATTCTTAAGATTCCCACCCCACCCCACCCCTGGCGAGAGGATGGTTCCGCCTCCTCTCGGTGGATTCTCCGGTGGGCTTTTAAATGCAGCTTCTCCGCTGAAGTCCTCCCATATTCCAGCATATGTATCTTTTCCCATATCTTGCTTGAAATTTGATAGGGGGCACCAGAAGCCCGACAGACTTGCTTTGGGAGGCTGCCGGTTGGCTACGCCCTGATCTTCAAGACGCATGGGGCTGATAGCCGTCCCGCTGGCAAACCGTATGAAATGCACATTCACAGGGATGTGGATGGCCAAAACTTGGCTTCTGAAATCCAAACATACGCGCCTCCCATGAATGGGGGGAACATTCTGTGAATAAAAGGGCTGCCATATGTCTTCCCAGACCTTCTGTCAATTTTATAAGCAGCTTTAGGCTCACTCGTCGTTCATTCCACCCTCGGGACAGTGGGGAACTTCAGAACGGGGGGGGGGCATCCAATGCATCTGTTTCCCCCCCCTAAATGGGAATGGGAGAAGTGCAGAACCACCCGCAAGAGATTGTCTCTGCATGCACAAACCCACACAGAGTTCCCAGTGCCCCATCCTCAAGAACACGTTCCTTGTTCAAATAAAGTCAACCCAATGTGCTAATAAAATAAATACAGCTGATTCTGGGAACAGACTTTCTTTATAGCCAGAGTACTTCAGGGGCTGCTGCTTCATTTAAGCCAGTGCCCAGTTGTCTGATACAAACAGTCTTTGAAAAGAAGTCACAATGCAAATTCGAAGGAAACAGGATGGGTTTTCCCCCCCCTACATCAAGCAGAGGTGGCTGTACGAAACGGAAATGCATATTAAAGTGGTGGGTTCAGATCCTAAGCGATGTGAAGATGTATGTTTTAACATCTGCCGCTCAACGCTCAGCTTTGGAAGTGAGTTGGGATCTGTTGTGCTGCCTTTCAAAAAAGAAGAAAAAGAAGAGATTGGATTGGATTTATACCCCGCTTTTCATTCAGAGTCTCAGAGTGGCTTATAAGCACCTTTCTTTTCCCCTCCCCACAACAGACACCCTGGGAGGTAGGTGGGGCTGAGAGAGCTCTTTGAGGACTGCTCTTGAGAGAACAGCTCTGAGAGAACTGTGGCTTGCCCAAGGTCATCCAGCAGCTGCATGTGGAGGATTTGGAAATCGCACCCAGTTCTCCCAGATTAGGGTCCACGCTCTACACCAAACTTGGTCTCAAGAATTGCTGAGCGTCAGAATCCCTGCCTAGTTTTGCCACCCCCTACCAATGATTCCCCATCAAAAAGTCAGTGTGGTGCGGTGTTTAGAGTGTCAGACTGGGATCTGGAAGGCCTGAGTGCAACTCCCCTCTTTGCCATGGAAGTTCATTGGGTGGCCTTAGTAGGCGAGTCCCACACTTTAGGTTAACCTACCTCACAGGGCTGTTGTGAGGATAAAAAGTGGAGTCAGGAGAACGATGTCCGCTGCTTTGTGTCTCCATCGAGGAGAAAGGAAGGCTATAAATGAAGTAAATAAATTTGTAAATAACTAAACAGAAGAATTCACGGATTTGCCTTGAATTTCAATAATTGTGATGCTCTTGCAATTTTTAACCAGAGGGTTTTTAAATATATATATATATATCAGCAACAGGTAATCGGTATCTTCAATCACTTGATTGCTTCTCCTCTTACTTCTTCACAGTCCTAGCTCTGCTATCTCTAATAATTCCCTGTATGCCTTTCTTATGGACAGGTGTGCGATTCTGACACAATGCTCGATCCAGCTTCTTCCGTGGAAATGGTGAAGGTTTTGGAAGAAGATCCAATGGTTGGAGGTGTTGGAGGAGATGTACAGGTGAATATAAGATTTAGACGTTAACACCCAAAACTGCTTCCGTGTTTAGGACCACTTCGGTTACAGTTCCCTAAGACCACATACATTGTAATGCATTGGTCATGCCAACTACTTTGTCCATGCATTGCAGCGCAAAAAAGGGGGGGCAGGATTTAGGTAGGGCTGCCATGTCTCCTGGATTATAGAAACAACAGAGAGATCACGGGAAGGATGCAAACAATAATGAAAACAACTGTGATGTTATATTATGAAAATATATTTAGACAACTATTCTGTAGTGAATCGTATATTTTTCATCACATTATAAAAATATACGCATACACACAACAGGAATTGCATATAACACCGTTTCACATAACAGCTTTTTCTAAGTGTGCTGTGTGAATACCATTAGTTTACACGTCAACAATTCTAATCCGTGAATTAACACACAACATTCTTCCCACTTCAATGAAACAGATTCTTTCAGTTGGCGGGGAGGGGAGGGGGATTGGCAGTGCCAACAATGTGCCGATGTCACTTCTGCCATGACCCAGAGCTGATGTCATTCTGTTGGGATGATGCTCTGGCTCGTCTATTGTCCCATGCCTTAAAAATGCTTGGCCAACCTGACTAATTTAGTAGGAGTAGAAAACTTTGAACAGGAAATACCTTCATTGGGCTCCAAATCATGGCTGGAAAGATCAGGTTTACATGAGGCTCCATAAACAAAACAAAACAAAAATATCACCCAGATATTTGAAACTATTCAGCCTCAAAATGTAATATGAGGGACTTAGTTGACTGAAGTAGGAAAAGATGCACACATTTGTTCGGCCTTTTGACATCTCCTGAAAATACTCCAACCTAGGTTATCTATCAAGCATCCCCCCCCCCAAGTATGCAAAAAAGTGAGACTCCCGAATAAAGAAGCATTTCATCAGTGAAGGTCTACGTACAATGTTTTGTGACTTAAAATACACACATTGCTTCTTTTTTTAAAAAAAAACCCACATTTTTTGAGAAGCCAGACCACATTTGAATTTTTTTAAATTTAAAATTAAATTTAAATTTAAATTTAAAAAAAATTACATACCCATTAGGAACTCTTTCAGGGAAAGCCAAAGGAGTAATACAATAGACTAGGAAAAAGGCCCGTTGTGGAAATAAATACAACGGCCTCTAGAAAGAGGCTCTGGGCGGGTGCCCCGGCCTTGGACACTCAGTGTCAATTTGCTGTGATGACTTCAGCAGGGTATAATGACACTGAGTCCACCATTTCCTCCAAAGGAACTGATCTCTGCTACCTAAAGAACAGTTGTAATTTTGAGTGATCTTCAGCCCTCACCTGGAGATTGGCAATGATGGTTCCCCAGAGGGAATGGTTGGTTTGGAGGGTGGAGTCTATGGCTTTGTACCTGTCTGAGGTCCCACGCCTCCTGAAACCTCACCCTCTCCAGGCTCCATCCCTCACATCTCCAGGAATTTCCCACCTGGAGTTGGCAACCCTGTCTCCTTCCCAGCCAATCATCAACCTACCTTTATTTCCCCCTCACTCTTCAGCTTTCCACCCGCCACCCCCCTGCAGCCTCTCCCGTGCTCTAAAGCCCTGACTGCTACATCACATTGGCTGTCATATGGGGGCCACCTCAGCAGCATATAAGGATACAGAGCCCACCATTTTCTCCAGGGGAACTGATCTCTGCCATCTGGAAAGCAGTTGTAATTCTGAGTGATCTCCAGCCCTCACCTGGAGATTGGGCACTTTTTACCTCAGAATAGCAAACTGTTTAGAATGTTAGAGGCAAAAGCCAATCAAGTTGCATATGCAAACAACCTCTGTGTTCCGAGGCAATGGCCAATGAGGCTTCATATGCAAATAACCTCTGTGTTCTGACTGGCTATGGGGGGGAGAGGAATGTTGGAGGCAGGACTCAGGACTCAGGCAAAGCAGCCAGTGGATAGGGAGACCCTCTGAATGACAGATCAGAGAACGAACTGATTTTGGAGCATGTGGAATGTTCTAGAGAAGTGCCACCACCATTCGGCTTTTATTTATAAGGGAGATGAAAAGGCTATGAAGCTATGGATGCATCTGCTCCCTTGGACTTACTCTCTAGTAAATGTTCTTAGGACTGCAGCCTTAAACAGGTTTAATACAATAGACATGCTGCTGTTATGCATTGTCTCTTTTTTCCTTTATACTGGGTTTTTACCGTACAATCTGAAACAGATTCCTGCGGGTAGCCATGTGGGTCTGAAGCAACAGAACAAAATTTGAGTCCCGTGGCACCTTTAAGAGCAACAAAGTTTAATTCTGGGTATAAGCTTTGGTGTGCATGCACACTTATTCGGCTACATTGGAACACACTTCCTCAAGCCTTATATATAGATGGAGGGGTTAGTTGCCAGGATGGGCTAGTTAGAGTCAAGTAACTGGGTGATAAGTATAGCTGAGATTGAATTAAAGCAGTTGGAAAGACCTGTGAATAGCAGCAAATCAGCATACAAATGCAAGAGCTAACAAACAGATGGACTCAAACTTAGTTCTCACATCTGTTTGCTAACTCATATATTTGGATGCTAAGTTGCTGCTATTCACAGGTCTTACTAACTGCTTTAATCCAATCTAAGCTATAGGCATCCCCCAGTTACTTATGCATCTTCGTGACTCTAACTAGCCTTTCCTAGCAACTAATCCGCACCCCACCCTCTCTCTCTCCCTATATGTAAGGCTTGAGGAAGTCTGTTACATATTTGAGGAAGTCTGCATGCACATGAAAGCTTATACCCAGAATTAAACTTTGTTGGTCTTAAAGGTGCGACTGGACTCAAACCTTGTTCCAATCTGAAACAGACTTGCACCCCTCTAAACCATGAGATTTACAAGGCTGTAACTTTCTTTAGGATGGAAGTATTCGTTTTATTTTATCACTTTTTAAACTTTTACTTGCAATCTGCCTTGAGTGCTCTTTGTAGTAGAAAGGGAGATAGAAATCCCTCTAAATGAAGATAGGTAGATAGGTAGGCAGGTACATGTGATGCTTGAATCAGACCATTGGTCTGTCAAGGTGAGTATTTTCTACTCTTGCTGGGAGCAGCTCCCCAGGGTCTCAGCCAGAGCCCTTTCACATCACCTATTACCTGAACCTTTTCATTGGAGATGCTGGGAATTGAACCGGGGACGTTCTGCTTATCAAGCAGATACTCTGGCACTGAGTCATGACCATCATGTAGTCAGTTAGGCAGATAGATAGGTAGAAAGGTAGATGTTACCAGTAAGGTTGCCAGGTCTTACCTGGCTGCTGGTGTGTGTGTGGGGTTCCAGTCTCCTCCCAGGAGTCTTCTTGTGCTCGCGCCACAATGATGTCACCCAGAGGTGGTGTTGTCACACAGGGCACATAGGGTAGGATGCGCCAGCATTTGGGGGGGGGACTCTATGGTCACCATAGAGTTTTGCCCAAATGCTAGAGTGTCCCCCTCATGATGTGTGCAGGGTGACATCACCTCCAGTGATGTCATCGTGTCAGATGGGTCAGAGCTCTTAGGGGATGAGGCTCCCCCGCTGGCCAGCTGGCCAGCGGTGGATTAGGGGCCCCGGAATAGGGGGGAAACCCACCCCCATCAGAGGGATGGCAATTCTAGTTACCAACATTATTTTGTGAGTTATCTTTTTTCATAAACCCAACCCTATGTCCTTTTTCTTAGGAACTCATTGTAATATAATTTCCTTTCCACTTTTCCCCCACTTGTAGATACTGAACAAGTATGACTCGTGGATCTCCTTTCTCAGCAGCGTGAGATACTGGATGGCGTTTAACATAGAAAGAGCTTGCCAGTCCTACTTTGGCTGCGTTCAGTGTATCAGTGGACCTTTGGGGATGTACAGGAACTCCTTACTCCACGAATTTGTAGAAGACTGGTACAATCAGGAGTTCATGGGATCTCAGTGTAGCTTTGGAGATGACCGGCATCTCACGAACCGAGTACTGAGCCTCGGCTATGCAACAAAATACACCGCTCGATCAAAGTGCCTTACGGAAACGCCGATAGAATATCTCAGGTGGTTGAACCAACAGACCCGTTGGAGTAAGTCCTACTTCCGAGAGTGGTTGTACAATGCAATGTGGTTCCACAAGCATCATTTGTGGATGACTTACGAGGCCGTCATCACGGGCTTCTTCCCATTTTTTCTCATTGCCACCGTCATCCAGCTTTTCTACCGAGGGAAGCTGTGGAACATCCTCCTCTTCTTGCTGACGGTTCAGCTTGTGGGTCTAATAAAGTCTTCCTTTGCCAGCTGCCTTAGAGGGAATGTGGTCATGGTGTTCATGTCCCTTTACTCAGTGTTGTACATGTCAAGTTTACTTCCGGCCAAGATGTTTGCAATAGCCACCATAAACAAGGCAGGGTGGGGCACGTCGGGCAGAAAAACCATTGTGGTCAACTTCATAGGACTGATCCCAGTGTCCATTTGGTTTACAATCCTCCTCGGCGGGGTTATTTTCACAATCTACAAGGAATCCAAAAAGCCATTTTCTGAATCGAAACAGACAGTGTTGATCATCGGCACGATACTCTACGCGTGCTACTGGGTGATGCTCTTGACTTTGTACTTAGTGCTCATCACCAAATGCGGCCGGCGAAAGAAAGAGCAACAGTACGACATGGTGCTCGATGTATGATTCGACCACTGTGTCTTCACTCCCGCCATGTGCGGGGAGTTCTCCGCGTGACCCGACGAACCTTCTAAGCGAACGTGGCACTGAATTTTAAGATCTCATTGAAAGGAAAAGGATCACTGCTGCTGGGACTTGAACACATTCAACAATTTCGTGACCATGCCAAAGCAAAAACAAACAAACAAACAAGAAAACAAATGAAAATGTGATTGTGCCTTTTTGGGGGGGGGGGGTTTAAAAAAAACATGGATTCAACCCATTCTTGTGGGTGGTCTCTGATGAATGCACTTTCTTCTGTTGTGCATACACCCAAAAGTGTTAATGTCCTATATACCTCATTGGCCATGCTCATGTGGATGGACGGGGAAGAAAGGGAGACTCGAGCAAAGGATCTGGCAAACCCTTGCAACCTAATTTATGAACTTCTCGGTCTGTGATTATTATTATTTTTTTCTCTAGGAAGGTTTGTATGTGTCTGTGTGTGCATGTGTGTTTGCGTGTGTGTGCGTGTTTACACATTAGGCTGCCAAATGTAATTCCAAAGTCAAATTTTCTATGAGGTTTGATGACTTAAGTTGTATTTTTATAAGTGTAATTATTTGTCTTTGTTTACTTTTTACACCATTTTTTTAAAAAAATCTCATATTTTATATTTTATATTTCTGCCAAAAAAGAAAGTACACGCCTCCCTCTCCCTTGCCACTCTTTACACTTTCTCCTCTTTTCTAAATAGGCATTGAAGAATTCCTGCTTTTCAAAACAAAAGTCCCGTCAACCCCACAATGTGAAAATGGATGCTGATCTGATATTCTTTTTTTTTTCACACAATGCAAAAGAATAAAACGTCCGTTTGTACTTTTAAACTGATGAATGGTTATTTCTGTGAAAGTATTTAAAATGTGCGCTTTTGGTTTTAGTTTCATTTGAAAACACCCAGTGCCATTGTTAGGTTTTCAGAGACAAGCCCTGTTATGTGCGTCGATGGCACAACCCCCCTGGAAGTTTGGGATTGTGCCCATGAAGGCCAAAGGGATAGATATGTGCAATCCTCTTCCCCCCCCCCCCTCGAAATTTGTTAAGAGGGAACATAAATTCTGGCAGACAATGTACATCTGAGGATTAAACATATGCCTTGATAGCCCTTATTTTAAGAACCTCAATCTCTTCAGTTTTTCTGAAGAGTCATCCAGTATTCACCTTTTTTTAAAAAAAAAAATGTTGACCTCCCCTTAGAGTTGCCAATCTCCAGGTAGGCGTGGAGTTCCCCTGGAATTATAATTGGACTCCCGACTACAGAGATCAGTTCCCCTGGAGGAAATGACAGCTTTGGAGGGCGGACTCTCTGATGTCACTTCTAGGGTTGCCAGGTCCCCCCCCCCGGGGGGGGGAACCACTGTTCCCTCTAAGCTGAGTTAGTGTGAGCTACCTCACAGTTTTTTAGCCTCCAGCTCCCACATTTTTGTTTTAGCTCAGGAAGGAGGGCTCCAGAGCAAACCAGAGCAATTTAATGCAGTAGCCAAATGGCTCACTCACAACTTTAATGCCAGTAGCTCACAAAGTAGAATTTTTGCTCACATGACTCCACAGCTTAGAGGGAGCATTGGGGGAAAACCCCGCTCGAGAGGCCCATTCCCCGCCAGCCCGGATCGGGCCGCTGGGGGGAACCCCACCCCCAAAGTGTGTGACGTACGCGGGGTGAAGATGCCACCCGGAGGTGACGTCATCCCACCAGGCACTTTGCTGGGGAGACACTCTATCATTCGAGGGGGAACTCTATGGTTTTCCCTCGAATGATTGTGGCCCCGTCCCCAATGTGCCCGACGCGATGGTGTCGCTTCCAGGATGCATCATCGCAGCGGGCACACAAAGCGCGCGCACCAGAAGACTCCACCCACTGTTTTGTAAGCTCAACTTGGCAACCCTAGTCACTTCCCTGCCGACCGAACTCTCTTTCCCAGAATCTACCCTCCCCACGCTCCACCCCAAAATTGCTAGGAATTTCCCAACCCAGACTTGGCAACCCTACCTCCCCCCCATTTCTTTACTTGAACACCATTGCTAGAGTGAAACTTTTGCTTTCCGTTTTAAAAATCCTGTGATGCATTGCAAGCCATTGGCTAAACTGGAACAGTTTTCATGGGGATGCCAAATGTCACCCCAAAGGCCTACTTCTCATTCTGCAGGTTTGAAGTGAATACTACAAGTCATCCCTGAGACTGCTAGGACCAGTGTTTACATTCTAAAAAATGAAGAGGTCCTAGAGTTCTACCTTACCAGATGTTTAGAGCTATAAGAGAACGTAGATATCGTGGCCTTATTGTCACAGTAGGGTGAAGAACAATCTATGCTCAAGGGCACTCTTATTACTTCCCATGTTCCTACGAAAGTAGGTTTCTACATTCAATCCAGTGGACAAGCCAGTTTTTTATGTTCATACCACTGAAGTGAATAGGGAAAACTTTGCAAGTGTGGGGTGGACTCCACCTGTGCATAAGAACGGTGGTCCAGGTGGTCTGGTAGACCCAGGAAACTAATTTACATATCAGATCCTCTTGAATCAACTTGGCAATTCCCAGGTCTGGCTACAAATCATTTATACCACCATGCAGGTTTTACTCTTTTAAGGTGTTTGCTTATCTTTCCAAACAGGGTACTAACTTTGCAGTCATGAGTTAGGTCCGCATCAGTAGCACATGTGGCTGCAGAGAGAGGCAGCTTTAGAGACGTTAACATGTTTTGATTGTAGTGAGAGACTCAGTCAAATTGATTGTAGTGAGAGAGGAATCAAAAGATGTGGCACACTAACGTCAAAAGATCAGAGATGGGCATTCACTTGATGAATGCTTAGAACTGGCAATGCAATTAGCAGCTCAGCTGCCCAACATCAATGCAACAAAGAAATCCTTGGTAGCCTATATATATATAGAATCAGGATTTAAGAAGGAGAAAGGGGAGAAGAAAAGACTGTTTGGTAAAATGGGAATATTTTGGCTTCTGGAGCGGTTTTGTATGTACATAACATAGTGGGGATTACTACAGCTCTGTGCTATAGTAACCCATTTCATCTCCAACCCCTGCTTACCCTGCCTGGCAGACAGGCAGTCTGTTTATATGTACGATGTCTCTCTCTTTTTGTCACCCTGCCGAGAGGTAACACAAAAATGAACATTCGGGCCCCAGATCCTGCATAGCCAAAGGGAAGTAGCACTGCAGTGTAGTCCTAAGCAGTGTCACACCTTGTCTCCTCCATCGAAGTCAATATGCTTAGAAAGTTGCAACTCTGTTTAGGACTGCACTGTTAAATCTCTTAAGAATATTTACGGAGGAGTGAAAGAAGGGTGGTAACCTTCACAAATCTATGGCCTTTTGGATTCTTGCATTAAAAACGCTGTGGTAAATCAGAAGTCCATCTGATATTTTTCAGAAGTATCTAGGGAGTCTATTTTCTTATAAATGCAGAAACAAGTTCGATATCCCTGCTGTGGAATGTGCCGTTTACTCTCTCGAGAAAGTGGGGGTAACATGTTTGCTTGCATACTGACCTTGATGTATGTTCACAACTGGGCGGGGGGAACAATCTCTTTTGGTAACCAAATGGATCAGTATTAAACTATCAAACTCAAAAGACATAACTTGGGGGGGGGGCGAGAGAAACTTGACTTTGCCTTTTAACTATTTATATTGTATAAGTTAAAGCTTGGGGGGGGGGGGGGGTAATACCGTTCAAGTGTCAAATGAAATCCCCGCATTCTATAAAAGATTGAATCAATTGCCTGTATTTATTCTAGCAATTATTCAATGCATTTCAAGTATAGGTTGTTTAGTATGATTGTTACTTTCATAAATAAAATATTTTTATAAGATTGGGAGCCTGATAGCCCAGGCAAGCCCGATCTTGTCAGGCAAAGCAGGGTCAACTCTGGCAATACTTGGGTGGGAGACCTCCTTGGAATACCAGCAGTTGGGAGGTGGGGGCAGGCTTTATTCAGCCACCTCTCTGAATATCCTCCAGGCCCTCAGTGGGGGTCAGTCACCAGAGGTCACCATGACTTCCAGGTGAGCACACTCACACATACATGCACAAATAAAAAATACAAAAAAACAATACATACATACATATGTACATACATACAGATGGTATGGAACAGAGAAGATCTGCACAGAAAACTGATACAAATGCACACCTGGATTTGCATTCCCAGCTGTAACGAGATGTTCACCTGGTCCCATCAAACTGATAGATCAGTGATACCCAGCACAGTACCTGTGGCCACCATAGCGCCTACCCCCTGGCCTCCTTTTTCCCTAAAGCAAAGAGCCAAGCCTGGCTTTCCAAGCCTGGCTCCTCATTGGAGCCAGAGTCCCTTCAAGAAAAGTCTAAGCAGAATCAGCTTTCTGATGGCAGGGAGCACTCAGCTGGAAAGCGCTGCCTCCTGTCATAGAAGGATACCTGGGTTGGAACCCCCCCAGCATTTTTGCATTGGGTCACGCCCGTAGGAGAGCCCTTTGTGGCTGGCTGCATGCACCTCCCACCTTGGCAGCCAATTTATGACAGCAGCCACGACCTGGTCTCAAAATCCAAAAGTGCCCATAGGATCAACGAGGTTGGGGAACCTGTCCGGGTTGGGGAACCGATCTTCAGTTGCCGCACACAACTACTGGAACTCATGAAGCATACCTTATGTGGATAGGAGTCGGACCACTGGTCCCTGTAGCTCACTCTTGTCAAATGTTGCTGAACTGAGTGGGGACCTCTAGATTAGGAATAAAGAATAATATCGTATGGCAGTGGGTGCTGTATAGCCAGGGGATCCTAAGATTGTCTGGCAGCCAGAAGCTCTTTTTGCATTATGCACCACTACGTGGCACCACTAGGAATAAAGAATTAGGATGAACAGGGAGGGCCTAAAGGTTTAGGGTGCCCTAAGCCTAGGACATCCAAGCCACCCACCACAGAGAGGTGAGAGGATAGCGCCCGCCCTTCTCACCTTGCCATGCCATCAGGAGGTAGAAGGATGGCACTCATCTGCTTCAATCTGTCCCCACTGGGACGCAGCAAGAAGCTGCTGCCTGTCCTTGTCCCCCAGCAGCAGAGTGAGGCCCACGGCTGGGTCAAGGAGTTGCCCACTTTTACCTGGCATGACAGTGATCTACCATTCACCTCCTGTCATGGTCAGGCAAGGCGAGGT